AGTTGTCCGTAGTTCAGAAATCAGAGATAGCTTTGGTGTACAGCCGCTGTCTTTTCAGACTGAAAAGTCATACCTGCCCTGATTTCGGGGTGTGTTGCGAATGCGTCCAGAAAGAAAGACGAAGCAAGTACCGTTTTCTTGCCAGCCGACCGACAGAAGTATTGGTCGAGATTAAAGTGGTGCAAATATATGGAAGGGATCTGCCTTAGAGTCCGTTTGTGCTCTGCCGAGCCTCATACTATAGCATAGGATCGGGAAGGATTACTGTCTGACGTATCGATCTCCCCGGCCAGAAAGTAAAAGTGGTCGTAGAAAATGAAGATAATATGGAGTTGCAAATGATAAGCGTGATTTTAACAGAAATACTGATAGAGTCGGTTAGCACAAGAGTGAAATAAGATAATAGCGATCGAGTGGTGTTTGAATAACTGGCTATTAACCAAAGGCATGAACAACATAAAGAGATCTATAGCGTCACCATTTTCTGTCTGACCGCATATTAATCGATGAATCCACTTATGCAGAACGCGATTAATTGGCAGACGATATTTAGGTGCAGTTGAATTCCATTATGATTATGTTACGACAGTTTCCAGCGACTCATCTGAAACTTGTTCGAAGGTACTTATTGCTTTATTACTGTTACTGTTTCGTACCGTTACAAGAGGATTTACAGCTCGGTTCGTTTGATACGAAGCAAACATACGCTGCCAGATTTACCGTATGATTATGGAGCCTTAGAGCCGGTCATTAGCGCCGAAATATTGCAGGTTCACCATCAGAAACACCATGCGACATATGTCAATAATCTGAATATTGCAGAGGAAAAGTTGCATGAAGCCATGGCGAAAAGTTAGATCACAACATCATGTATATTCATTCGTTTGATTTGCCGTTTTGCTTCGTAGAAGATACAGTAGCGGCGGTATCCATCATGTCGGCTCTGAAGTTTAATGCCGGCGGTCATCTCAACCACAGTATCTACTGGACGAACCTTGGTCCTAACTGCGGAGGCGAGCCTTCAGGCGAGTTTCAGCTATTAAATGCAGTTTTTCTTAACTTTTGCCATTGGTTTTCAGGCGATTTGGCAAAAGCGATTAAAACCGATTTCGGCTCTTACGCGAATTTCAAGTCTTTGCTGACAAATGCATCGATCACTGTTCAAGGGTCTGGATGGGGTTGGCTTGGATATAATCCTACGTTCAACCGGTTGGAAATGGCCGTGACGCAAAACCAGGATTTACTGCAGCCTACAACAGGTATTTTGCTTTGCTCGTGCATTACAGATTTGGGAAAAAATTTGAGAATGCTTCGATGAAAAAGTATATTCCCTTGCGTATCGAAGTTGCTTTACATTAGAAAGCGCTACTGGCAACAACAAAAAAGAAGCAGTTTTGACAAAATGAGTTTCTGTCTACCTCAGTGTCTCGAGTTGAAGCAATGTATTGCGAAAAAAGGCTATTCTGCTCTTTCGTCTATGAGTAACTTAGAGAGAAAGAATCAAGCTGATAGGTGTAACTATACTCACCTTGGAATGACGCTGTGTGATTCTGGTTGTTGAATGAACTGAGATGATTTTCCAAAACGTGTCGCTGTTAAGTAGTTTTTCAATATCGATTTACTTGCTCTCATGGTTGCCCAGAGAAGGTTGACACAGTTTACTCAGTAATTTCCGTCTGGTCCATTTTGCGGCTGTGCGAAACGTGCAGGACTGTTTGGTTGAGGATGAAATTACTTTTTTTCAATATACCAGACAATACCACTGGATCGCTGTAGCTACTGTCTGCCCGAAAATGGAGTTGAATCATCACACCACAAGGCGGTGCTAAGTTTTAGCGGTATGCACAGAAAATGTGCTGCTTTACGTTTCTTGGCGAACACTGAAAGTCCGCTCTAAATGTTCATTAAGGTAGACAGCTATTTGACGGTGTTTGCATTGAACTACCTTTTCTGCATCATGATCACTGGTCCATCTTTTACAGTAGTTGTCAGAACTCAATTTTCTCCATGTAGAGAGCTTGAAGGGATTAAATACTTGCGGTATATTGTGCATGGATAATATTAGTTCTTATGAATCCGTCGATCAGGTGAAGTAGGTAAGTTGGATTTGCCCCTGGTGTCGGTCTACAGATTAATTTATGCGCATTGGTATAAGAAGTAGATAACTCAGTTTACTAATGGAAATCAAGTAACAGGAACCTACGGGCGAGGACTTGGTTCTTCATTGATAAATGCGATAGCGGATGCTTTTTTGCCATGTAGAAACTCATTCAGTCTGAAATTGACTAAACATGAGTTGACTGTTTAACGGGCGCTTTAAATTATCT